ATTGTGTTCTTATGGTAGAACCTGATAAACTCTTCAGCAATTCAAATGGAAGCCTAAAGGCTGCACTTGCAAGGTATTTCCATAATTTTATCCTTTATGGTAATTTAAACTTGTGATTAGTTATGGTTGGTTGATTGGTTTGTTTAATGAGATCAGGGAGGTTGAATCTTGATTTTAGTAGTAATTTTTCATAGGGTGTTGAAGCTTTGACATTAATCTAGAATTGTGTATATGGAAGGTTGAATGGGAGCCATAGTTGGGAATAGTTAAGAGGGAAGAGCTTGTTTTTGTCGGTGTATATGAATAGGAATATGTGGGAATCTCTGTTGCCATACTAAGAAACGCGGCGAGAGATCAAAGGTTTTCGAAGCTCATGGAAGAACCATTTTCGCGGTGAAGCTTCGTATTCGTTCATTTCAAAGTATGCTATTGATGATCTATTGAACTTGTTTGTGTAGTTCATATGTGTTTTTGATGCCCATAATTTAGTTAAGTTTCTTTGTTGGACAGGATTATAACTTCTCTGTGGAGTTTTGTATCTCTTCCTAGTTCAGATGGGAAATGCCTGAAAAAACGGATCACGAAGGAGACACTTAGGCTCGCCTAGTCGGGAGGTCTTTCTGATCAATATAAAACCGCGGATATCTCATCTTCACACTGGACACTGGGACACTAGAAAACCTCGAAAGGGTAGTTGTTGATTACTTCGATTCTTGTAGTGGTGACTTTGTTTCTCGTTATTAACTAAACTGATGAGCGAAATTGCAGGAAAGATTATCCAGAAGGTAGCCATGTGTATGGTGAACTTAAGTTCTTGAGGCATTCCGGAAAGCTTAACAATGGGCGAGATGGGTCGACGCCAATGTAAATACGGGGAAATCTATGGTTTTCTTCAGGGGTTTATTGACTCCCATTTTAGGTAACTCAACCATCCAACTGTTATACGATTCTTGTTTTTTGTATTGGAATCGTTTTTTCAACATTGCTTTGTCTCAATGCAGTGGTGGAACAAGGATGAGAGCCTGTGCCAGCGAGACTGGCCGATCAAGAATGTGACATATCTAAAGCCTATCCCCCAGATGCTGGTGCTGGAGAAGGTACTTAGAGGGATGAAAAATCAACTCACCTACTTAAACATCACCCGATTGACTGATTACCGAAAGATGGTCACCCATCAATCATAGGAAACAAACCTATCCAAAGAAGAAAGAAGATCGCCGTGAGTTCCAGGACTGCAGCATTGGTGTCTTCCAGGCGTGCCGGACGCCTGGAATGAGCTTTTCTATGCTGAACTCTTGATCAAAGAGAATAAGATCAGCAACATCATCAGAAGAAGAAGAGATATAGGTAAAAAATTAAAAAAAAAAAAAAAAAAAAAAAACAACTTCCACTTAAATTGAGTTGCTTAAGTTATATTTAATCTTCTATATTAGTAGAAGTCATACTATTACGTATAGTTTTTTTTTTTTTTTTGGTGGAATTGTAGAAACAAAAACTTAAGATCCATGAATTTTGTTTCTTCTATATTATGAATTCAAGGGCAAAATGCAACAATGTATATTCTTTTTGTTTATAAATATTCTTTTAGTATTAAGGCATTTGAGGATTGTAAATTTCCATTTATTTAGTTTTTTTGTTATTCATAATCGAAACTATAAAGTGCGATCCTCTGTGAGTAGCCCGATATCTATGTGAGTAGCCCAATATATAAGTAGCTTTAGATGGTTAAGGCAATTGAGATATTATAGATAGTGCATGTTTTTATGTTCGATTTTATTGAGTATCCTGATTTAAGTGGGAGGGAGGGTTGTGGCAGCGTAAGCTTGTTCGGACTCGTAGTACCCAGATAGTGTGTTCTATTCAGGTGTGAGACTTTGATTCTCACATTAAAACTTATGCTAAAAAAATTGCCAAATTTATCGTTAGTGGAGGTTTAGCATTAGTTTAATGTAATTTTCTTTTTTAGTGGTCAAAATTAATTGAAGATGGACCGACCAACTGGGGCTTTGTGAGAACATTAATAATATTAAAAAAAAAAAAAAAAAGTGTTAGGTGCCACTTGGTCTTTTCTCACTTGTCACTGATTTGACAAATAATCAAACATTTTTTTAATCAACTTTTGTGTTTGATTATTGTGGCGTATCTTTATCTTAATCTTAAATCCTTTTGTTTTCTTCTTCTGGTTTGTGATTGCTATGTCTTGGTCACGAGATTGAAAGCTATCTTGTTGGCTCATGAAAAATCTTTAAAAAATAGAGCCTAAAACCCTTAATTATCGCACCAAATTAATGAGCCTATGTACCTTATATTCCAATCTAATGAATAATATATATATATATTATAATTTGAAGATAAATATATTTTTATTTTTATAATATTTTAAAAATAATAAATATTCCTATATGGATATTTAATACTAGGAGATGGGGGTTAATTTATTAAAAAAGTTTCCATTTTATTAAATTTACACGTCTAACTAGTTGTTAAAATCATTATTATATTTTTATTGGTATATTTTGGGATGAGTAATGTGATAAATATTATTTGAAGATACCGTAAGTGATAATATTTTTTTTAATATTAGATATTGTATCGCAGATGTTGGGATACAAAGTTGAGAGTATTATCTTTTGTTATACATATTATAAAAAATAATGTAAATATGTCTTTAAGTAGGGATGATATTAGTGTGACGGATCGACTCGAAGAACGAAACCCTAAGGCTTCGTTTGGTTCGCTTTTGAAAATATTATTATTAGTATTCTCAAAAAAATTAAACAGTAAAATGTCATTATTTTCAAAATATTATTTATTCTATATTTTTTAATTTCTTTTAAATCTCTTAAATTTGTTAATTTAACTAAACATCCTCAATTTTTTTTTTTAGAAATTATAAAAATACTCTAGCCACCCTCTGGTGGTGGTGGCCGGCTGTCCGTATTTAATGGGTGGATTGGGGGTGTTTTTGTTAATTTTTAATATTTTATTATAGGGGTATTTAGTAAATAAATAAACATAGGGGATATTTTTGTTAATTTTCAAATCTTATATCGTAATATCAGTCCAATTTATTTTTTTTCAAAAGATTATTCTAAAAACTATCAGAATAATGAACCAAACGGAGCCTAATAGATATGATTAGTTATTACTTATTTACAAATTACAGTTATTCGTTACGAACACAATTGTTTTGAAAAAAAAAAAAAAACATACATTTAACAAATATAAAGGTGATATGATATGNGAAAACTTAACAAAAGAGTAATAATAATAGATAAATTATTATTTTTTGAATATCTTAGACTACAAATTATAATTAACTTGTTCAATGATTGTAAATAGATGAAATAATTTAATCCAACATTCTGATATTGTTTTATTTCATGTCGTTTTGGAAAGGATTTCATTTGGATACATACATAAAACGACAACACAAATGATGGGATGAGTTTAAAAATTGGTAGTTGAACAATCGTTTTAGCTATGAAGATATGAATAATAAATAATCCAATAATTATCATTCCTTTGTTGAATCAAACTAATCCTCTTGTCAATTTTCACCACTTAATTATCATTAATCAATTAATTATCACTTTAATTGATTTCTATAATGAGACAAATAAATTTTGGTCATGATTTGGAGATGGTGATTTAGCATTAAAGAAATTTCGACCATATCGAAAATTATTGACACTCGTCCTCTTTATATATTAATATTAGATATTCCCATATCTAACCATCCTTGTTAATTTTAATTTTCAAATTTTGGTCCTTATTGGGAGATGGTGATTCAGCATTGAAGAAATTTTCACTATATCAAAAATTATTGACACCCGTCATCTTTATATATTAATTTTATATATTCTCATATATACTCATCCTTGCTAGTTTTAAATTTCAAAATGTCAAAGATTTATTTATTTATTTTAATGACTAGAGGTGTTTGAATTAGCTTGTATATACCTTGACTATTCTCCCGGGACCCTAGAAATACTAGTTGAGTATAAACTTTAGTAATCATTTCTATTAGTAGTCGTGGGAACTCAAACTCAGAAAACTATATAAGCTCAGATTCTCATTTGCTCTTTTACTATCGAGTCACCTAATGGTGGTTAAATGTTAAAAGTTTTATTTAAGAACATACTTAACCATAAAATTATATGACTTAACATAAGTGTCCTTAATGAAAAATAACAAGGACAAAAAAATAGCTAGAATGCACTAGCACCATCTAATGTGCTTTAATTGGAGTGTTAAACTATATAGTTAAATACCAAATTATCGAGTCTTATATAGTCTAGCGTTATTTATTAGTAATATATTATTTTTTATTTTATAAAGGATATAATTAGTAAATCATTGAATTTTACGCATAAATTTATCTTTTAAAGAAAACTTTTACACTAGATTTCAAGATTTTTTATTTTTTTATATTCACAACGAAAGATAATTTTAATACTGATTTTTATTGATAGAATTGACTACAATCATTTTAGATTTTTTTTCACTTTAGCTATTTTTTTTTTAATTATCAAGGGTGTCTGAGCCAACTTATACACACCTTAATTAATCTTTCGGGACCTTGGAATTATCGGTCGGGTAAGAGCTCCAGTAGCCACTCCTATTAATAACTGAGGAGAGACTCGAACTTAGAACTTTTTGAGTAATACAACCAAGAGTACCTATTGAATTACTCGGTCACCCAAGGGTTGATTTTGATAGCTGAGTATTAATTAGACACAAATTTCATTTTCAAACTAAAATAAAAAATAATAATAATAACTAAATAAAATTGTCTTCCACTTTCTAATTATGAGTCAACAAAATATTTATATAAATTAAATTCTTACAACCTCCCCTTTCCCCGTCACCCAAAAAAAAAATTAAAAAAATTAGAAAATCTCAAGCCAAAAATTACAAAATGGAAAAGGGTAGTACATAATTAATATATATTTTTTAGCCTTAATTATATAAATTATTTTCCTATTTACAATATTAATTTAATGCGCTGATTGATTGTGCTTGAACTTGAGCTTGAGCTTGAGAAAATGGTTCAATCCAGGGGGTTTTTCCCAATTGTAAGGCCATGAGTTGTCCTTGTCATTGGCCGCCGCACTGGCTTGCATGTCATGGTGTGGGTTGGCGGCGGCAGCGGTGGCTACACGCTCACAAGAAGGGCACATTGTGAGAGTAGTGGCCGGAAGTTGCATGTAAAAAGGTTGAGAAGATTTTAAAGCTCTTAATTCTTGAAGCTCTTTTTGTAATCTCCTGTTCTCTTCTGTCAGTGTTTCACAACATCTCTTTAAATACTCACAATCTACCTCTGTCTGCTTCAGCTTTGTCCTGCAAAAATTTATTTAATTTAAATGATTTAATCACCCATTTTTTAAATAATTAAAACATACATTACTCTTTTTTTTTTTTTTTTATGACCACGGGTGTCGGGTCCAGCTTACACGCACCTCAACTAATCTCCTGAAACTCTGGAATTATGGGTCGAGTAAGAGCTTCAGTAGCTACTCTTATTAACACCCAAGGAAAGACTCGAACTCAAAATCTCTTGAATAATACACTCAAGAGTCTCCGTCGAACCATTTAACCATTAAGAGGTAGTTAACATATTACTTATTCTTGTATTAAGATTTTGGCTGAAAATTTTCTTTCGCCGTAGAACTACTGTAGGATTTCTGATGGCAGGTTTATGCTAAAAAATATTGCTCGAAACTTTACTCAAGACATTCATAATATGTTAACAACACGAGATTGAGTATTTTTCAATGGATTTTAGAAAACAAATTAAAACATATAAATTATAGAAAATAAGATTTATTATAGGGAAAGAAAATGTTATTTTGTATTGTAAATAAATACAAAAATAGAAATAAACATTAAAATTTAATTATGAAAGTACCTTGCCCTTCTGTTCTGAAACCAAACTTCTACTTGGCGAGGACGAAGATTCAACTGTTTTGCTAAAGCAAGCTTTTGCTTCTGCAAATATTTTGACCAAAAAAATGTTTCAATAAATAAAATTAAAAAAACAAAAAACAAAAAACTGAAAGCAGAAAGCAGAAAGCAGAAAGCAGAAAACAGAAAACAGAAGAAGCTTTATTATTATTACAGGATTAAGAGTGTTGTGTTCTTTGAAGCTTTCTTCGAGAAAAGCTGATTGTTCTTTAGAGAGTCTGAGTTTCTTCCGAGTTAACCCGTTCTCTTCATCGTCACTCACTCTTGAACTCGCTCTCTCGCTGCTGTTGTGTTGATGGTGAGTTTCAATAATCTCCAAATCCCTCTTGTTGTTTCTGCTGTTTCCTATACAAAACTCCATCTGAAAAGACGACACCGTACTATTTGGAGATGACAGCGCCGTCGTTCCCTCCTCTGCTTCCCCCTCCGCCACCGGAAACCGGTTCACATCCAACCCTCTTCCCATCCCATCTGTCGAACCGGGTTCTGACACCATCAAAAATCAGATCTTTAATATTAAACCGTTTAATTTTCTATCATTTTCTTCCGTTTTCTCGGCAACCAAACAAAAGCATGCAAGTGAGTGTTATGGAAAATATTACTTACCGTTTTCAGTCTGCCATGGAAAGCGAAGCTGCGAAGGAGGCTGATTATGATGATGAGTACGAGGAACCGGAGAGAAAGGAAGAAGATCAAGCTGAAGAGGAAGATCATGATCATGATGATCTTCATCTTCATGATCTCCTTTGATCTTTAAGCCCATGCAAAACCCTAGATCTTTACTTGAAATTTTCGCTCCAGACTTGTCCAGAAACGATGAAAACTGCTTTGAAGCATCGCCTAAACTCAAAGCGAGCTCCATGTTTAAAGATAATAAAAAAATAAACCGATTCGACCTACTTCACACCTCTAATATTCAACAATTCTTTGAATACAGAAAAAAGCTCAGGAGGAAGAACCCTAACTGGGGGCTATAATTTATTTGCTTTGTGTGAGTAAAGATTGACCGACAAATCAAGGTTGACAAAGGAACGCACGTGAATGTATATAAATATAAACTGGTTCATACACGAGAGAGAGAGAGAGAGAAAGAGAGAGAGAGAGAGAGCGTGATAAAGATTTTCTAGGCAAACAGAAAATATTTTCTTCAATAATTTTCTTGGGGGTAATTCGGAAGTCAAAGATGTTCAAATTTAATTATTTGTTGTGGGAATAATAATGATAATAATAATAATTAAATTGGGATTTGATTGGTTGGACAAGAGAGCAAAATGAGTTATTTTTATTTTTATTAATTATGTAATTATTACTTTGGCTGTGTTGATAAATTATTATGCTTACCAAACAAGGGCCATATCATAATCATCATCATGATAAAATAATGATGATCATTTATTATACGGTCCAGGATCATTTCATAATTTCTATTTAGGGTTTATTACAAATTCCCCTGAAATATCAGTAAATAATAATTTCCTCCTTAAATATCATAAATTACAATTTATCCCCAACCATCAGTATGTCGTAACGGTAAGGGTTGAAGTGTTTAATTTAATGGATTAAATATTAATTTTTTTAGTCGGATGTGAAAACACTAATGGAACAGTATAAAATTTTGCGCAAGGGATAGGTTTTTCTTATTTTTTATTTTTGTTGTGATCAGGGTGTTTGAGTTAATTTACATGCACATTAACTTATCCTTAAGGGCTCTGAAGTTAATGAATGGTACACCCTCCAGGCCATCTCTATTAGTAATTGAGGTGATTCAAACTCAAAATCTCTTAAATAATATATTCGAGAGTCATTGTCCAACCACTCGACCATCTAGGGGTAGTTAAGAGATAAATTATTATTTCAAATACCTGAGAAGCGTATTGTTAGTTCATGCTATGTCAAGTGAAAACTTTTTATAAACTTAAAACTTTGGATTATGATCTCAAGGGGTTAGCTTAGCGGTTAAGGAGTTTTGATCATTTCCTTGAGTTCCTAAGTTTAAACCTTGAGGTCACTTATCATAATAACATTGTGATTTACCTGATTATTTAGATTTGTAGAGTGTTCAATAAACTCTGGAAATTAGCTGAGGTGCGTATAAGTTGGCCCGAATACCCTAGTTACCAAAAAAAAAAAAAAAAAAAATTCTTTGGATTATAGTTCAAGTTGGGATTATTTCATCAGAAATAGTGAAATTAAATTAAATTAAATTTATAAACTAAGCGTGATGTGTGAACAGAGAAATAGTAAGATTGAGAATTGAGATTTGACTACAAACTATTCAACGTTTACTATTCCAAGAAAAGGTATTTGTATTAATTAATTTAAAGTACAATATTCTTTTGTGTCTTTTAACCACTTAGCCTAAAGAAATTAGATTAATTAATTTATATATAAAACTATATGATAAAATAATTAAATTAAATTAAAACCCAAAGTATCCTATGAGTCCATCCATTAGGACTAGGTCTCACTTTGTATTTCATTTTTAATCAAAATTTAAGGATTATCTAATGTCGATGAGTTTTGGGCATCAGTTTACAAGTAATATGTTATATTAACGCTCGTAATATATATATATGTTTCGTAACTCAAGTGATTAATTATAAATTTATAGTATATGTTTTAATGGTTTCCTGACTATTCTCTAACGGTAATTTTTTCTATTTTTGAAATCTAAGAGTTTTTTTTTTTCGTCAAACTTAGGGAAGGGTGATTTTTTTTTAACTATAATATATGTTATGAACCTGTCTTATCGTACGAATGATAATGGATACTTGTATTTAAATTTTGGAAGGGTAAAATTCAAGGTGGTGGAAGCTACGGTGGTGGAGGCGGTCGTGATGGTGGTGGTAGCGGTCCCACTGGGGGCATGGAGGGTGGGTTTAGAAGAAGGTAATAAAAATAGACATCAAGAGGATGTGAAGAGGTCAGAAATGTCATGCTTTTGGGATCATTGCAATTATTGAAGTCATGCAGGCTTTAATGATAGGGTTGAGAGAGAGAGAAAGAAAAGAAATTAATTATATAATTTTATCTGACTCAATTATTATTTGGTGGGACCATTTTACCCTTCACTCATATAATTGCCACACCAACTAGTACTCCTTTCTCAACATTCCCTTCTTTTAATTATTATTATTGTTAAAAAAAAATTATATATTTTTTAGAATATTTTTTAAGTTACATATATAAACATAATTATTTTTAAAATTATATTTTATAAAAATATTCATACTTGAAAGTTAAACTAAATTATAATATCCTGACATAAAAAAATCGAATTAATGGTTATTTTTATGTCGGTAAAAATTAAATTACAGTATCCTCACTCTTTTATAATTTGAAAACATACTCTTATATTATTATCTTATTTCAACTTTATTTATTATACAGTTACTAATTTATTTTTTTAGTCAAATAATATCGTATGCAAAACTATAAATATGCATATATAGTAAGGTCTCTCTAGAGTGATACTCTGTATATAAATAGTTTTTAAATAATCATAAAAAATTATGGTTTCAACTTGGTCCAGTTATAAATAAGAATAAATTTTACATTGTAATAAGTTATGATTTTTCAAAAATTATTTAGGATAATGATTTATATTTTAGAATTGTTACCACATCTTAGAACTTACGGGTACGTAATAACTGACCAGCATGATCACCTTCTTGTTGAAACTAACATATTTTTAAATTCTTAAGAATGTTTAGAGTTTCTTAGTTCAAAATTTTTTGTATTTCCGTGTCTACTTTACTTTTATACTACTTGCACTAAGGATAACTAAGTTATAACCTCCTCGTACTAATAAAATTAGTTTGGTTCCATCATTACGGTTTTAGAGAAGTTTTACTTTATGAAACCAAGTAAATGTTATATTTGAATTTCAAATTTATGGTAATATCATAAATATGAGAAGTTAATGTCGCAACCTAATTTGTAGCTTTATCATATGCAATTATTATAGTTGTTGAGCACCTCTTTAATTTCTACAATTCCTTACAATTTTATTTACTGAGGTAGAACAAAATTACCAATCGTCCTAATTAACCATTTAACCGAGTATTTATAATTATTTACTGAGTTACCTTAATGTGTACCCTAGTAATAAATGTTAATATTACTGAAAACAAAAATTTGATCACAGCTATACGAATCAGTGGGGGCTCTTGACCCCCCCATGTGGCTTTAGTAAAATTTGAATTGTGATTTTCAATAAAAATGGGTTTTTATTATTGTGGCAAAATAATTATGGATCTACACAAGGGTGATTTTAAATAATCAATATTAAATTTAATCGTGTAAGTTATGGTTGTTTGGGAAATTTAATTATTATATTAATTATCCTCATAATAATCTAACAATTTTATAAATATATTTCAATATTAATATTTTTAATTTGGATTTAATTTCATAATAAAATTACATGTTGCTTGGTAAATTTTTGTAGTCATCTGATAATAACAACTGGGTTTTCTTTATTTTAGTTTTTTTATTGGGCAAGTAAATTATGTAGGATTTTAAAAAGATTATTTATAATAAAGTCAATATTTGCCATGGTAGTTGTGGAAATAAATTAAGTAAATTTTATCATAACAATCAACACAATTGTATAAAACATTTACCATGTGTGTGTTTAAACAAACATTTTCTATCGAAGACTATTCATGATTATTGACTACGCACTCGTGACTTGGTATAACTTAGATAGTTTGGCGAATAGGGGTAGTGTAATCATACATTCATGTTGCTTTTCTCATCTAAGCACTACGACTTAAGTAAGGAGACATGTGGTTGGGTTTGCTAGCTCGGTTTGTCTCGAAAATCAGTCGAGGTGCACGTAAATTGGTCGCAACACTTTGTTTACAAAAAAAAAAAACCATTATTGATCTATTGTTATGTTATAATTGATATTTAATTTCGTTATATATTAATTTGAGTTATGAAACAAATATGGAAAAGTAATATAATAATATTTTTTAAATACTTAAATAAAAGGCTAATTATTTAAAATTATAAGATATGATATCCATTATAATTTTGAATTTCAGTGTTTGGAATAGAATAAATAATCTATTGTGGTGTAATTATCTATGAAAGAAATTACCAAATTATAAAACTGTATATTAATTAATTAGTCTAATTTTTTCCCCCTTTTCATAATACTAACGGGACACATTAGGCATTTTCTTAATTCTATAAAGGCAGGCGAGGAAGGTGCAGGTGCTATAGTCACAGTGACGTAGATTCCAACGCACTGACCATGCTATTTGTTGGACTTTCCCTCTGCTTTTTTGTCGCTCATGGTCCGTCCCAATGACAACCTCACCAGACCACAATATATTAAACAGAAAAGGGTTTCCGTCACGTTCTGTGACTCAGTCCTACAATAGTCAAAATCTAATGAGATCTACCCGTCGGTTCCTCACTTTGTCCGTTGATGTCGACCGTACGGACGTGACGTCAACTGTGACCATTACGACAATGGTCCCACAGGGAAAGAGCTAAAAACCGCAGGGTTAAAAAGGAAATCTAACTGTTAATTGAAGTGGATCTCTAAGGGCATTCAAATCATAAAAAATTACAAATATTACATTTTGCCACAACTTAATAGTTGAATCGGTTGAGAAAGTAGACATTGAAGTGTATTTGGTTTTGACATACATTTTGAGTATGTTTAATGTTTGGTTATAAATAGTCAATATGTATAATGAAGTGGGACACCTTTCTTAGTTAATGCTTGTGCTGCTCAAAGAATTATATTCACATCTTTTATTGATTGATAATTTTATTCTATATATTATATATATATATTTTTTTGTTAATCGTATTTTAGGGTTAATTTGTGCGCACCTCAACTATCTTTTAGATTTTGTTAAACCTTTTATGAAGTCCAATAAACAGATAAATCACAAATTATTTGATGACCATTTACAAGACTCAAACACAAAACCTGGATAACCCACTTACACTGTAAAGGCTTTTCTTCGATCACAGTGTTAGTGATTAATAAAATGAAATTTCTCATACACTTTTAAGAAACAAGATAAAATAAATGGAAATTTCTTCTTAATAAAACACTT